GTGTTTCGTAAGAAAAAACATTTTTTTTGTTTTGGTTATTTTTATAAAGAAAGTGCCCTGAGTTGTTGTTTTTTTTTTTAGGTTTTTTTTTTTTTTTTTTTTTTTTTTTTACTTTCCTTGTAAATAGTTTAATGCTGTTTGATTACTTCAGTGCATCGGGACACATTGTGGACATCTGGATTAATATTTTAATTAAATGACAAAAGTTATACTATCTAGAGGAGGTTGAAGAGTTAGCTCAGTGGTAAAGTGCTTAAGGTGGGAGCGCAGTGCAAAATTGCAGAAAGATTACCCTCTCCCCACCCCAAAACCCCAACAGTTTCCAAGGGAACTGTTACCTAAAGTGAACTTTTCACATTATTCATGGAAAAGTGAAATTAAATTTAGTTTGTGATACTTCTGACTTGAAAGATTAATGAAGGAGAGTAAATATGTCAAATTCAACATTTATCTACAAGAATTTGTTTAGATCAGAAAGACATGCAGGTACATACAGTGGTTAACACGCATTAGGAAAAGTTAGAAATTCAGTGAATTAGGGATCTGTTTGTAATTTCATCGTGAAGTTTGAAAATTAAAAATAAAAGACTGTGCTCTCATCTTAGGCAGATTGTGTGAAGAGGAGTTTTTCATGAGAAGGAGCTCAGAGAGCTTTGGCTGGGGCGTTTATCACTTCTTCTTTGCCATAGTTAATTCACCTGCTTTGGCTACATAAGCAGATCATTATGTTTTCTGTTACTGCTCTCTGATGTTTTCCCCGAGTTCCTGTCATTAAAGATTTCAAAGTCTTCCTAGATTGAGGTAGGCATTTTTTCAAAGGTAAGCATACACTAATAACTGAACCCTCTTGATAGATCCCTTTTTTGCTCTAAAGGCCACCACTCATTTGTGATTGTTGGTGTCAGTTATAAGTGCCACACAGTTATTATGCTTAGGAACTGGCAAAAGATAACCTTACAGATAAGGATTATTTGGGAAGAGTACAAATTGTGCCAAATAGGTAATGATTTTTAAGTTGATTTAAAGAGTATTTATAGGAGCTGGAAAGATGGCTCAGCAGTTGAGAACACTGGTTGTTCTTGCAGAAGACATGGGTTCAAATCCCAGCACCTACATGGCAGCTAACAACTGTCCATAACTCCAGTCCCAGGGGATCCGACAGCCTCTTCTGACCTCCACGGGCATTGCACGACATGGGTGCACTTACCTACATGCAGGCAATACATGCACACACATAAAATAAAAATAATGAAAAATATATTTTTTAAAAGTATTTAGTTACTGTAGTGATAAAATCTAATGTGCTGGGAATATTGGGGAACAAGGGAATATAATTCTCTTTTAAGAAGCTAATTTGTATACTTGTTTTTTATGTGTATATATGTTTTTCTTTGATAGAGTTTTCCAGAAAAGGACCTTCTACACTGTCCGTCCAAGGATGCAATTGAAGCTCATTTTATGTCTTGTATGAAAGAAGCTGATGCTTTAAAACATAAAAGTCAAGTAATCAATGAAATGCAGAAAAAAGACCACAAGCAGCTCTGGATGGGACTGCAAAATGGTAACTACAGCAGTGTCTAATTTCAGAATGCCACCTTAGAAAACAGGAGAAAGCACATAGCCCTATGAGTAATTTATGTGTTGGTAATAGAAATTAATTCTAGCCTCCATGTCCAAATCCACACAGTAGCTACTTTGTCATCCCTCTCATTCCAATTTCCCAGTGTTCCTGTGTGCATAGATTCTCTAGCATTAGACTGATCACTTAGGTCATGGCTTAAAGACAGTGTAAAGGTTTTGTTTAGCTTCTGAAGAAAATGCCGTTACTGTAAAGTGTCACCTCATTCCTTAGGCATGGGTCTTCTGGGTCAAACTAGAAACAGAATGCACGCTGACCAGGGGCCTGGCTTCAGCCTCTTCTTCCTCACAGTAGTACATTTGCTTTGTGCTTCGATCCTCTCTCCTTGCTTTGATTTAGAAAATTCTCATGACAGGGCTGAAGCTATTAGGTCAGTGGACAGAGTGCTTGCCTAGCATTCACCTAGCCCTGGGTTTGATTCCCCAATCACTGTATGAACTGGGCATGGTAGTGTGTGCACTTAGCAGAAGGATCAGAAGTTCGAGGTCATCAGATGCATAGGAAGTTGGAAGCCAGCCTGGGATACATGAACAAACAAAACAAAAACAGAACAAAGCAAAACCACAATTCCTGAGGGAAAAAGGAGCTCATCTCTGTTCTCCACCTCTGGAGATCAGAGCTTCTTATTCTTGCTTGCAGTGCTCCACCATCTAATGCCCACAGACAGTTGATGTAAATACAGAGTCCTTACTTTACATGGTTCCAGGATGTATGGTTAAGTAATTAACACCGGTCCTCCACTATGCAGTTTAAATTTTAGCTACAGTGGCGTATTAACTATGAATAATTATGTGAAGTACAATTTTATTGCTAGCTTCTTTGTGCAGACATCATTACATAATTAGAGTTGTTTTCATATCAGTGACAAATCACATCACAGCTTAGTGTCTGTGGATTGTTCACTATGTGTTTGTTGTTCACCACACAGGCAAGGCATGTAGTGGTATAGCATCCTTGTTTCCACTTAACATTTATGAACATGGGTAATTGAAAGAAGGAATCAGTCAAGAAGCTGCAATGCAGCAATGACAGTGATAATGCTGGAAGTGAAGGTTGAACAGAAGATAATGGGGACTGCTGGCATAGCAGCAGGAGGAACCCAGTGAAGATGAGCTCATTCACATACACGTCAGAGAGGATGAAAAGGTCCCACATTAAATTATGCTGTTGATGTTTATATTAAGGCAACTCTCAGAGATAGTGCATGACATTGAAAATACAAATATGAAATGTGAAGTTGCTTAAAGCACCAATATTTCAGTTCAGGTATGTACAGGAAAGATTATTTCTCACAACCTAAATTGGTTATGGTTTTGCATGTGTATGTGTGTGTGGTTGTATGTATGTTCATTCATGTGTTTTGTGGGGGGGTGGGGGTGCTGTGTACTGGGTGCTTACGTGTTCATGTTCCTATGGAGGCCAGAGGTAATGTTGGGTGTTTTTCTCTATTCTTTCCCACCATATTTGCTCAGCATGGTCCGTCACTGAGCCTAGAGCTGCACTGGCCTGCAAGCCCTAGGATCTACCTGTCTTTGTGCTGGGGTTATAGGAGCACATTGCATTCTTGGCTTTTCTGTGGGTGCTAGGATCCGAAATCAGGGCCTCCTGCTTTCACAATAACTGCTTTCTTTTTCCTTTTTAAGCTTTTTGGTCAAGTTTGTTTTTTGAGACAGAGTCTCACTGTGTTGAATGTTTTGTTTTCATTCTTTGTTTCTGTTTTAAATTACTTCTACTGAGCCCTTTATTTTCCTATTTGGGAAATAGTAACAAACAGAATTTTTAAGTATTTTGATGAAAAATTTATATAAATCATGAAATAATCATGCCCTCCCCCATCCCCAGAGAGAGAATCTCATTGTATAGTACAAATTGGCCTTAAACTCATGATCCTCTGCTTCTACCTCCTAAATGCTTGAATTACAGATTTGGGCCACTATGCCCAGCCTTTTTTGTTACTAAGATCATGGTCAGCCAGGCATGGTGGCGCACACCTTTGATCCCAGCACTTGGAAGGCAGAGGCAGGTGGATCTCTGTGAGATCGAGGCCAGCCTGGTATACCTAGTGAGTTCCAGGCCAGCTGGGGTTGCAGGGAGAACCTGTCTCAAAAAGACAAAAAAAAAGTGGGGGGGCTGGAGAGATGGCTCAGCAGTTAAGAACACTGTTCTTGCAGAAGACCCTGGTTCGAATCCCAGCACCCACATGGCAGCTAACAACTGTCTGTAACTCTAGTCCCAGGGGATCTGATAGCCTCTTCTGTCCTCTGCAGGCATTGCATGACACAGGTGTACTTACCTACATGCATTAAAAAAAAAAGATTATGGTAACTTTTCCAGTCCACAATGGCATGGAAAGTTAAGACAGTTGTATGTCTTGACTTCGTGTTTGTCTTTGGCCAAGGAGATAATCTAGTGTATCTTCTTTTTTATAGTTATTTTGTATTTTTTAAACTCTATGCAAAGTTCAGAGTGTTATGACTTCAGTGATGTAGTATGTAAGGCACAAATATGTTTGTGATAATTACATGTTCTGTTTTTTTTTTTTTTTTTTTTTTTTTTTTTTTAGATTTAGATTTGATATGGGTGACATGGAATTTCATACTTATACATCTGGAAATTTCCAAAACCTGGCAGGCACCAGGTTTTTCCTCCTCAAAAATTATTACTAAATAATTAAAATAACTTATAACCTAAAGAAGGTATACTGTCTGCTTGGTTGTGGTACCACATGGCTATAGTCCGAGCACTTAGGAAGTGGAAGCCAGGTACATGAGACCCTGTTGCAGACAAGCAAACAAGCTGGGGCTCACATAAAGGAGTAATTTGACTTCAAGTGATCCCGGTACTTGGGGGTGGAAGCAGGAGGATTGGGAGTTCAAGGTTGTTAAGCCAGCCTGGGCTAAGAGAAACCCTCTTTCAATACCATCATCATAAATTGTGGAGTAGGACTGGCCAGATAGCTCAGTGGGAAAGGCACTCATCTTCGAGTCTGACAACTTGACTGCAGTGCCTGGGACCCACATGGTGGAAGGAGAGAACTGACTCCTGCAAGTTTTCCCCTGACCTCCACAAGCCTGTCATGGTGCATACATCATAATTAATTAATTAATTAAGTAAGTAAGTAAGAAGTAAATGTAAATTGTGGAGTATGCTGAAAGTTAGGGTGTATTTGTAGAAGATAGATGTTTTGTTGTCCTTTCTATCTGGAATACTCTTTCTGTCCTTTTTTGATTTTTTTAACTTCTCATGTTTTTGTACCTTCTCTATTGCCACATTTACATGAAGCCTTCTATTTGTTGAGTTAACAGATTCTGAGCACCTAACTTATGACTGACAGTATGCCAGGTGTGGTTATCCAGCACCCAGGAGACAAACATGACTGTTTTTTAGGCAGCTGGGCCACAGCTGTCATTTTTATGCTCTTGGCCTTTCTGTTCTTTTATGTTATCACACTGGCATGTTTTCTGTATTGTGCTAGCATAGTACTCTTGGTTGGTGTATATCGTGTGTGTGTGTGTGTGTGTGTGCCTGTCTGTCTGTGTGTCTGTGTTCCTGTAACATAGTATAGTTTTAGAGAGAAAATCAGTTTTGATTTATTTTTATTTTTTCCCTTTTACACACTACCAGGAAGTGAAGTTAAAGCTCTTCATACTGTAATATTGGCTGGGTGTGGTAGCACATACCATCAGTTCTAGCTCTCGGGAGGCAGAGGCAGGTGGATCTCTGTGGGATCAAGGCCAGCCTGGCCTACATAGTGAGTTCCAGGCCATTTGGGCTACAGGGAGACATGTCTCAAAAAAACAAACAAAAGTAAGTGAATAAGTACTGTAGTATTTGTATAAAATAGAGGCAGTGCTTTCTTTAAGTTTATTTAGGTAAATGGAGTTTATATTTAAGTGAATAAATACTGTAATATTTGTATAAAATAGAGGCAGTGCTTTCTTTAAGTTTATTTAGGTAAATGGAGTTTATATTTAAGGATTTTTTTTAACCTCAAGAGAAGGTCTTAATTATTTTGAAGTCGTAGTTGCTTCACCTTTTTGTTGATGTAATTGTAAATTTGTCCAAATTGAGACAAAGCAGATGGTAAGTGTGTTTCATTCAGAGCTGCACCTGTAGAGCATAACAACTAAACAGAAATTTGAAGGATTTTTGAATACTTTCAAATGCTAATTTTAATTTCTGAAGCTCTCTAAAGGAGAAATAAGAAAAGCTTATGAAACCAAGAAATCTCATTTAAGGCATACTGTGCCTTTCAGTTTTTTTTTTTTATGGACTTTCATTTTAGATACAAGAATATACTGCTTCTCTGAAACAAAGTTAGTGGTCACAAAAAAAAAAAGAAAGTAGCATTTTATGTGTGCGGCAATTGCTACTACCAGTACATAATATTTTCTTCTTAATATCAGGTTATGTATATGAGTGGGAGATTTGAGGAAGTCAGTGAAAGGTATTTTAGGAATGATGTAAGACTGCTTTCAGCCTGTCTGCTCTCAATATATATATTTTTCCTTTTTTTTTTTGGTTTTTTTGAGACAGGGTCTCATGTAGTTCAGGCTATGCTGGAACTCCTAATCCTCATTTCTCCACCTCCCAGATGCTGGGGTTATAGGTGTGTATTGCCACATACACAGTGAATACGTATTTTTTTAAATTAAATTTTATACACTTGCAAATGAAGGTATGTATTACCTGCTAAATATGTTAGAAATTTAGATTGCTTATAAAGTATTGTTAATCTGTTCATCTGATTAGGTTTTTAGAAGAATTATGTTGTGCCATTTTACCACATACATACCCCTCAGCCATTTCCTCCCTTTTCCAGACAGAGTTGTGCTATGTTTTGGCTTTAACTTAAGATCCTCCTGCCTCAGCCTCCAGAATACTGAGTTACAGACATGTGCCCACACACTTAGCCCCATTAT